TAGTACCGCAGAGGTGGTTTTTCCAATGAAAGGCAGTAGGATTTCAGATAAAAAACGAGCCAGTTTGTATGTGGGGGGGTTGATCGTAGAGACAATGGGACGAAGAGGTGTATCTTCTTTATGTATCTTTGGCAAGCCGTATAATCTTGGTGGCCTGGCTGCAGAAGGTTTCAACGAGAACTGTTTGGTCTGATCAATTAATGCGGTTGAATCAGAAATGATTTGCTTGGTTTTAGAGACGAGGCTGTTGGTGGGGTCTCTTTTTATTTTTGTATAGCTGCCATCGTTGAGTAGTTCTTGAATTTTGTTGTTGTATTCTATTTTGTCCATGATGACAGTGGCATTGCCTTTGTCGGCTGAGAGGATGACAATGTCATCCCTCTTTTTTAATTGAGCTAATTCAAAACGCTCATCTTTGCTGATGTTGCTAGCTGGCATCTTAGCGTTTTTGAGGGTTGCAGAGATTTCAGATCTTGCTACGTCTGCAGAGATGTGACTCAGGCCCTTGAGAGCTACATCTACTCTAGCAATTATATCATTAACTGGTATGTGTCTAGGTGTGACTGCAAAGTTTAGTTCTTTAGCTAAAACGGATTTCAGACCTTCAGAAATAGAACTGTTACTGCGACTTTGTTAACGTCTAGCTTTTCAATGTGTGGGTCCGGTCTCTTGTTTGAGAGGCGGTTGAATTTGGAAATCAAGTTGTCGACCAAATGTAAGGACAACTTGATTTCCAAATTCAACCGCCTCTCAAACAATAGACCGGACCCACACATTGAAAAGCTAGACATTAACAAAGTCGCAGTAACAGTCTATTTCTGAAGGTCTGAAATCCGTTTTAGCTAAAGGACTAAACTGTGCAGTCACACCTAGACACATACCAGTTAATGATATAATTGCTAGAGTAGATGTAGCTCTCAAGGGCCTGAGTCACATCTCTGCAGACGTAGCAAGATCTGAAATCTCTGCAACCCTCAAAAACGCTAAGATGCCAGCTAGTGACATCAGCAAAGATGAGCGTTTTGAATTAGCTCAATTAAAAAAGAGGGATGACATTGTCATCCTCTCAGCCGACAAAGGCAATGCCACTGTCATCATGGACAAAATAGAATACAACAACAAAATTCAAGAACTACTCAACGATGGCAGCTATACAAAAATAAAAAGAGACCCCACCAACAGCCTCGTCTCTAAAACCAACCAAATCATTTCTGATTCAACCGCATTTATTGATCAGACCAAACAGTTCTCGTTGAAACCTTCTGCAGCCAGGCCACCAAGATTATACGGCTTGCCAAAGATACATAAAGAAGATACACCTCTTCGTCCCATTGTCTCTACGATCAACTCCCCCACATACAAATTGGCTCGTTTTTTGTCTGAAATCCTACTGCCTTTCACTGGAAAAACCACCTCTGCAGTACTAAACTCTACTGACCTGGTATCGACAATCAAGGGGATTTCCCTGTCCCCAGACCACCTGCTTGTCAGTTTTGATGTGGTTTCCTTATTCACCAAAGTTCCTGTACCTGACACCATCGCAATCATTGAAGACTTGGTTCATCAAGGACTGAATGCTGGGGTACCCCCCCTGGTGAGACACTGCTTAACCAATACATACTTCACCTGGAATGGAACTTTCTACAAGCAAACTGAGGGCACCCCAATGGGCTCCCCTCTATCTCCGGTTGTAGCCAACGTCTTCATGGAGAAATTTGAGACTGACGCCATCCAGACTGCCACTCTACGCCCAACCTTATGGAAGAGGTACGTAGATGACACTTTTGTCATCGGGCCACATGGCCGGCCTGCTCTAGACCAATTTCTCGACCACATCAATTCCATACACCCAGCCATCAGATTCACCATGGAAGTCGAAAAAGATGGCAAGCGCTACCCTTTTTGGATGTCCTAATTAAAAGAGACCTGATGGTTCAATGAGCCACTCTGTCTACAGGAAAGCCACCCATACGGATGCTTACCTAAAACCGGATTCCCACCACCATCCATCCCAGAAGAATTCCCTCATCAAGACTCTATACCATAGAGCCCAATGCATTTCCGACCAGGAACACATTGCCAGTGAACTCAAACACGTACGCCAAGCTCTTAAGGCTAATGGTTACTCCGACTACACAATCCGCAAAGCCATCACTCCAACCATAATGAAGGATCCTGTTGAGGAGTCTCTCAAGACCATCACCTTACCCTACATTGCTGGGGTCACAAAAAAGATCTCCAAAATCCTGATTAAACACAAGATCCAGGTCCGATTCAACACAGTACATAAAATCCGTGATCTGGTCCCGTCTGTAAAAGATGTGGTTCCAGACATACAGTACCCTGGCGTCTACAAACTAAGTTGCCTCTGTGGTAGCAGTTACATTGGAGAAACCAAACGACATGTCTCGGACCGCATCCGTGAACATAAAGCAGACTTGAAACACGGTAGGACAAACACCTCAGCCGTGGCAGATCACTGTTACAATTCAATGGGTTCACATGATATTGACTTCTCCAAGACAGAGGTTCTCTGAAAGCCATCTGGCTACCATGAGAGATTCGTTCAAGAGACAATTTCAACCGAGAAGATGGATTCCGGCTTAGCAATCATTGGAAGGACGTAATAAACCATTTCGGATCTTAACTGATTGTGTCCACGTTTACGGTGACTTTCAGACCGCGTTCCACTCACTGACATGGACTATATATCTTGTATTCTCCGCAGGGAATGGATTCTTTGCTCCGCTGCAAGCTTCCTACCACCACTCTCCCATTGACATATTTCGTTGCTTCCTCTTAGTACCTTTCGTGCGACGGTCAATGGTATAGTGTATAACATATTGTTAAATAATAAATAGTATTAAAGTGTAATGTTTAATACAATGTATAAGGCAATATATAGTATCGTAATTGTATAGTGAATATACAGCAGTGTGGTATACAGTTGGGTGGGTAGAATAATACATAGTGTAATATTACACTATTATTCTAAGACATAGGGTAGTGTATAGTAATACAGTATACAATTTAATGTTGGGTTTGTCTATGGCAGCATATAGTACGGGATAGACCCGTGTGATGTAAGGAAAAAGTTTAAAAAGTTTAGCTGGAAGCATATTATATTTTTTTGCGACCTAGAATTGTAATGTATTACTTACGGTTAGTAGCTCAGCTTATTGAGAGTTTATTTAGCATACTGATGATACTATGTAGTTTATACTTTAGCTTTTTACGTGGTTTTTGAGTTACTGCAGCTACATACTATTAACATTCCTTCCCTTTATTAATGCTACCCCTACCCCCTCCCTTTGATGCTGCTAATCCTGCAAAATGCATGGGCATAATATGACTTTGAAAACCCCCCGCCCACCTCCTACGCATTTCACAAGTAGCACTAGTCTCATTCCTGCATTTCCCATAAATATGCTCAATTCCTCTTGATATGCAGATTCTTTTGTCAAGGCGCATTTCCCCCCCCCTCCCCTTCCAAACCAGCTTAAAAAGACACTCCAAGCGTGGTGGTGTTTCATTTAGACGCTGTCGCCTCGACAGACCTGGTCTTCACCTGAGGACGGCTGCTTGTGTTGTGGCCGAAACGTCGTGAGAATTATTTTATTATGTTTTATTTTGAATTATTTTATTACTTCCCTTCTACGTGACTTTACCGAAAGAACCAAGATGCTGAATCCCTGCAGTCACGAAATCTTTAAACCCTCTAAAACAATTTTAAAAAATCATTGATCTAATTTAAATTTGTAAACTGGGAATTATGGTATGTGATTGATACCATTCATTGTTTCAGTGTAATTTCCAAAAAATCGATTTTGTCAACCCAATCGTACAGTCTAGTGATGCAACAATCCATCTGGCTGTAGCACACAAGATGATCTCATCTCTCCATCTCAGTGGCAAGACATCCTCTCTAGCGTGCTGCCTGCTTTGTCTGCCACTCCAGCCTCGACCGCAGGCCATCATCCCTTCTCGCAATGTGCCCTGCAGCAAGCTCACGTATCTTTGTTAACAGTGAATGTAACGTTAAATGTGACCTTGCTTAGGTTTTCTAACTCGTATGTTCCTTCTTCCTCTAATCGCTGTCATTCCAAGCATGCACCACTCCATGCTTCTTTGCACCCTTCTCAGCTTTTCCATTTTCTCTTGTCAATGGCCACATGTCTGATTGTCTTAGCAGGTAAAATACACTGATTAAAAACTATTTTTAGGCACATTGGTATGCTGTTTTTTTTTATGAAGTTAACATTTTAAAAACCACTCCAACTTGCTTTCATCTGCATATTAATTAAATTATTTTGATCCCCCTAGGCAGCATATGCTGATATTATATCTAGTTGTATCCATCCAGTAAATGTCTTCAATTGCTAAGCAAAGCCAATTGTGGCTATGTAATAACTGTAATATATATCTATTGCTGCTAGTTTATTGTTCATTAAATACATTGCTGTAAATCTTGCCTTAAAGCTTTTGTGATTGCAGGAATTCATATTCTTTGGGTCTTTTGGTATAGCCACATTGATAGAACAAATAATGAAAATAATAACAATATCACGACGTTTTGATTGCAACACAAGCAATCGTCATCAGGTGACAAATATAGCTCCCCCACTATATTTTTCACCTGATGACGATTGCTTGTGTTGCGATCGAAACGTCGTGATATTGTTACTATTTTTATAATTTGTTCTATCTACGTGGCTTTACCGAAAGACCCAAAGAATATAAATTGCTGTACCAACTTGATCTTCAAAATTGCTGCAAAATTTTCCAGTTTCTAGGCCTACAAGTAAATATTAGAGTTTTGAATTGCAAGTAAATGTACTTTGTCCACATTGTTCGTACTCATCAAGCAGCTCCCTTGTATTAAATTGTGCTTGATATAATGGATCCTGAGGCCCTTTGTATGTATGAACATTGAAAATCTTTCGCACCGTGCATAGCCAACCATTCACATGAGCCTTTGTTGCCAATGTGTGTGTATGCAGTGTTCTGGCTCGTGCCTTGCGTCCCTCCGTGTTGATGCAGTTCTCATTGACCGATGGCTCCACACACCAATTTGAGGTAAAATGAATGTACAGTATTCCTTCGTTCTACACGAATTTACTATCCACGATTTTGGCTATCTGTGAATCGTACCTGGAACTCTACACGACTGCATTGAGAGACAGAGAAAGAAACTGATTAGATACAGTGATGAATAATAGTTTAAACTATTATTTAATAGTTTAATAGAGGTACAAGAACAATGGGCTTGCATTAAGTGGTTTATTACCATATAAGTAACCTAACAGGCAATGGATACCCATTGTCATTTAAATGCATTCATTAATCCCCTCCCCCCATTTCGCTCAAGAAGGGCTCAAGAGTGATGTCATCACATCTCTATTTAAGGAATGAAACAGGAAAGATTTCTCCACAAATCTGGCTGTCGCCTGATTAATCTAGTTGTAATTACTGGCGAAACGTCGTACTCACATTGTAAATGTTGTGACTTTGCTCTCCAACGCACCGGTGTGCTGTATTAGTAACGAAGTGGCATGTTGTGTTTGTGACAAACCTTACTAATTGGCTGTGGCGGGTTTAATGACACCTGTATGGTGGATATTTAATGCTTTAATAACCATGTTTTATTAACTTTTTGTCTATAATTAAAAAATAGTGTTATGATCATTTTAACGTATTTAAGAGCTTGTTTACGTATTTAAAGTAATTCATTAAAAAATATTTGTTTTCGTAGGCCTATGTCATTATCTACGAAATGTGCTGGTCACAAGCATCTCTGGAATGTATCCCTCCCGAATAATGAAGGAATACTGTACAAATACATACATACATACCTAACTTGTAAACATGTATTTAAAAGAAATATGAAAAATCGGGCCTAGATATAACATTTCTGATGATTCAGGATTTTTTTTTATAGAAATGATGTGAAAATGTCACATGACAGAATGCAAGATTGGCATGCGCTGTTACATCAAGAGTGAAGCTGTAAGTGTATTCAAAATACAAATTCGGCCCCTGATCCTTTTGGTGGGAATTCCACATTTCTATGGAAAGGGACAATTGTAGGATGACCGCTGCTGACCTATCACAGAGTTAACTTATTTTGTATATATTTTTTGCATTTTCTTCCACGTTCACCAGGTCCCCGTGAGTAAGTTCCAGGAGCTGCGATACAATGTGGCACAGCTGCTCAAGGAGATGTCCGATCTGGAAAAACGAAGCATCCTCCGCATCCAGGACTGAGTTCCCGCCGGCCTCAAAATACTGCACCCCTTAACGTCCCAATCACAATCTAATCTAAATTATTTTATTTCACTCGGCAAGGCCCACTGAGCTATATAGCTCTTTCTAAGAAGCAACTTGTCCACAAATTGGAGCTCAACGAAGTGGTTTATGTGGAAATGTATAGCAGCCAAATATTCCAAATGCCCGTTGATTATAAATGTGGAGGGAAAAACCAGAGAACCAGAATAAAAATCCACGTGGCCATGGGGAGAACATTAAAACTCCAAATATACAGGGTTCAGGGTCGGGTTCAAACCCACGACCTTTTGCATACCAGGTGAAGGAGATATCATCTCACCACCGCAGCTCTTCAATCTACCCTCCAACATCCCGTTCGCAAACCTTCCCAATCTCTTATCCATCACCTGCAATATACTGTCCATTATACTTCACTTTACTGAAGCCAACTTAACTCTTAATGCGTAATGAACTCTGAATGCACCATTGTATATTCTGGAGTACTTCTGCTATAGACCACGTGGTGGGCAGCAGGGCGCACTGTGGAAATCCATTGTACTGTACAGGCAAATGTTTTGATGAAATTCTGATCCAATAAAGCTCACCAGTGGCTTAAGACTTTTCATGGCTGGATTTAACATCAACATACGACGTTTAGCTCAAACTGCTTCGAGTTTCTTCAGATAGCGAACTCTGGAATCGAGTGTGCTGCCTCAGCTGCCTTTGCCCTCATTTACCTGTCGTGACATCACCAATGGATGGGTTAAAATGTAATTAGATCAAATTTAAACCATAAAAGGCCTTTTATTGTTCAATTCCCAGTCACAGTTAACACCAGAGGTGCGTGATATTGGAACCAGGAATTCCCTCCACCAACCCACGCTGAAGAGATTGGTGAAATATGGTCAAACAACCTTAATGACTGACATGGTGTGGGGGAGGCTTCTATCCAGCAGTAGTGGATTGACAAAGGGCTGTAAATTATTTTTAAAAAATATTTTGGCATGATGTGCACATTTGGCATGCCAAACAATCATTCACAGAGCACCACAGAGTGCATGCATCAATGTTTATTTAAACAACCCCCAATAATTCTATTTGCAGCTGTTAATACTGGGTGTGGTGGTAGTACATTGGTCAATGCAAAGTTTTTATTTGTGATGACAGGGCCTAGCGTTAACATGTTTGCCGCTTGTTGCACGGGTCCACGGTTCGAATCCAGCGGCTGCCGTGGTAATTACAGAAACAATATATGTATTTATACTGGAGGAATCCGATGAGCTATAAAGCTTTTTTTCATAAATATCCAGTAGGCGGGTAAGAACGTTACAACAACAAACAATACAAACACGATAGTGCAAAGTACAGCAAAGGTTAACCGCTGAAAAACATACCAATAAAACTAAACCATCCCCATCCTACCAGGCAATGGCGGAGCCAGGATTTTCAGGTCGGGGGGGCAATTTTATTAGCAATTAAAAATGATAGAGGAGTTGTTTGTAAGTAAGGACTTGTCCCTTGCTTTTTATTCGACGCGTGTGCGGCGATTGCGCAGTCATCGATCGAGGGTCGAATTCGAACCGTATGTGATCGGCATCGCGCTAGCTGAAGGTATACCTTCAGGGAAGCCGTGTCCTGTATACGCATCTGCGGACAATTCTGAGTCACTTATAACTGCTTTGCCGTTATTGCCAATTATGGACTCAGACTATTATCTCATAGAATCCCTGGCACGTACTAATATGCCACAGAGTGGAAGTGGGGGTTGCAAAATGCCAATTTAGTACTAATAAACCCCAATGATCCGATTGAAATTAGGGATTTTGATCGGATCATTGGGGGGGCACGTGCCACCCCACTCCCCCCCCCCCCCCCCCCACTGGCTCTGTCAGTGCCGCCAGGCAAATCCCACAATCCCACTGAGTTTATTGGTGTGAGGATCACGCCGGAAAGTCAAACTTGAATTGCAGGTTTCAGCAAGAGGCGTGACACATTGTGAAATGTTTCCCACCTGATGGGCACGGCGGCACCTGAGAGAGCACTCCTGTAATGTGTTCAACTTAGTTATGCAACCATTCGCAATGAAGTACTCTGTTTTCCTTGCACTCTTCGACATGCAAAAAAAATACGACAGGAACTGATCAAACATCCAAGGCTAGATCAATAGAGTCTAACAGCTCATACGGTCACGAATATCGTGGAGTAGACAACACTAGTGAAACACTAAATATATCCATGCTGTTGTATGCACACCCAAAGCTTTGCAGCCCCATGAATAGTAGAGTATGAGAAACCCATGCATGCTCAGCTCAATGTGACAAGAAGTTATCAGTTGATTGATTTCCATCTTGTTGAACTTCTCTGTGACTGGGGGTGGTTGGTGGGTATTGTGGATGGGTTGTTATAGGTGTGGGTAGGGTTGCCAACACATACGTAAGCTGTTTGTGTTTAGTTGTCTTTCCCCGCACCTCCAATTACACTGTAACAATTTTTTTGTTCCTGGGTAGTGTTTTTTCCTAATTGCTTATGCCTGAAAATTACAGAAAATGGCTATTCCCCACAAACTTTGCTTTTGTGACCAGGACAGTGATATTTGAAATTTACCTATTTTCCAGAACATTCCAGATAGATTCAGTGCTGAGTAAACTTGGAGTAACTTCTAGAGCATTCGAGAACTTTCCAGTAATATAAATAGTATAAATACAGGGGCCTTAAGCCCACCAGTTCAGTTTAGTTCCAGCTGCCTAAGTAGATACATATCTGCATTTTTCTGAGATGCCATCAAGAGGCTGGCAAGCATCCGACAGACGCATTTTGAAATGTCTGGCCAATTTATCAAGACGAGCGAAAAACTACTCTGTGGAAGCATCTGCTAAGATGTGTGAGGCCGACAAGGCATATTTCACCATGCCTGTCGGGGATCAAGACAAACTAGGCACTTCATTTCACCTGTGAGCAATGCAAAAAAACTCTGAAAGGTAAGATGGACAATTGTTGCTCGGGATTTTATGTTAAAAAATTTGTAAACAAAAAATTTAAATTGTAAAAAGTTTTTTTATTTTAAAATGGTTTCAAATTTCCAATGTTATTTAAAAATATATATGAAAAATGTTGCGAGAATCTTTTACACATTAGCATGGGTGAAATAAATATATTTTTGTAGGATGGTACAAGGGGAAAAGAGGGCCATGAAGTTCGCTATTTGGCGGGAACCCACTGACCACTCAAGCAACTGCTACTTCTGCATGGTGGACCCTTCCAAACGTCGGACTGGCAAGAATGTACCTGCTATCACGTATCCAGACCTTCCTTCATCCATCGCCCCGGTGTCACACTGCCATGGGCTCCCCGTACCCACTCCTCCGGAGAGAGAGCAACCGTCTTTAGAAGAGAGCAGCAAGTCAGAGAGCGAGGAAGACGTAGATCCAGATGACAATTTCAGAAGTGTGGAGCTGAGGAGAGAAACCCATACTACAACCAAAAATACCTCAACGACTTGATCAGATATCTTGGTCTCACTAAGTCCAATGCCGAGCTTTTGACGTATAGGCTCAAACAGTGGAACTTGTTGGATGAAAGTGTGCAAGTCGTAGATCAGAGGAAGCGATGTTTCGGCCTCGCTGTCCGCTGCGTTGCACCACGATCCGAGTAGTTAACCTCGCATTCAATAAACCTTCATAGCCAGGGTGAACATCCGACTCTAAACGTTTTTAATGAATTGAACGAGGTAAAATTGATGGGAAAACAGCACAAAATACAGCATCTGTTAATACTTGCAATATCGATACAATTAACTAGCAGAAGTACCCGGCGTTGCCCCGGTGAAAAATATATTTCTTAATAACCTTACATATATACACAGATGGGCTGCTACCCCTGCCCCCCCCACCCCCAGCCACGATCTCCTCGGCCGCTGTGCAGTAATATGTACGGCCTATAGTGTGGTGGGGTGTCGAGGCCTAGTACCGTGCAGAGCCTCCGGCCTCGCCTAAATTGCCCACCCGGCTGAGGCTGGGTACTGGGGCCGTTACCCCCCCCCCAACCCCCGCGCTACAATAATACTGTCTAATCGCTATAATTTTATTATCTACCGACCCTATAATAGTAATTGCACACATTGGGGTGGGGGGGGAGTGAAGAGGACGTGACACTTTGATGAATTTACCTCAGAGTCGCGTGTTAATGCGTGCGCATATTTTTAACGGGAATTAAAAATGGCGTCCACCCCGCAGCGAATGCGTCGCTACCCGTTGCCAGGGGCATCCGCCGTGGAAAACCAAACGGACCAATCGCGTCTCGCAAATCCCTCACATTTCGTCCAATGAAACTGCGTATGGTCCGGCGACAAACAGACAAACAGACACACACACAGAACACACAGACAGACAGACAAACTGACAGACAGATTTGCGATTTTATATATATAGACTAGCTGTACTACCCGGCTTCGCCCGGGACTTGGATCCATCACGCCCGGCCGCCTTTGTCTCCCCAGTGGCGATGTTCATACGCCACACCAGTTACTCGTTTTGAGGCTGAGTCGACCTAGGGGAGGCCCAGGACCGGTTCAAATAATCGTCACGGGTGGTGGCCGTGAGCGGGAATGGAACTCGGGTCGCCGGGTTCATAGCGCGGCGCGCTAACCACGACACTACAATGCGTTACGCTTCCGTTGTAGGGTTTGTGTAAGGCGCGCCGATCCGTTGTAGGATTTGTGTGAGGCGTACCGATCCGTTGTAGGATTTGTGTGAGGCGCGCCGATCTATAATTTTATTATCTACCGAGCCTATAATAGTAATTGCACACATTGGGATGGCGGGGGAGTGAAGAGGACGTGAAACTTTGATGAATTTACCTCAGAGTCGCGTGGTGGGTGTCGAGGCCTAGTACCGTGCAGAGCCTCCGGCCTCGCCTAAATTGCCTACCAGGCATGAGGCTGGGTACGGGTGCCGTTCCCCCCCCCCCCCCGTGCTACAATAATACTGTGTAATCGCTATAATTTTATTATGTACCGACCCTATAATAGTAATTGCACACATTGTGGTGGGGGGGGAGTGAAGAGGACGTGAAACTTTGATGAATTTACCTCAGAGTCGCGTGTTAATGCGTGCGCCTATTTTTAAGGGGAATTAAAAATGGCGTCCACCCCGCGGCTACCTGTTGCCAGGGGCAACCGCCGTCCAATGAAACTGCGTATGGTCCGGCGACACACACACAGACAGACAGACAGACAGATTCGCGATTATATATATATATAGATGAACACAAGGAGCATCATAACATTGTCTTAGAGAACATGCAACTGAACAATAGTTTCTGGATGGACCAGGCACCTACATTAGAACTGAATAGCAATACAAGAGAATAAGCTACTGTGTTCAATAAGGTCACATCGTGTAATCACCATACTGCAGCCTAAATGTACAGCGCTGCACATAACACTGAACTGTGGATGAGGTACTTCTTCATCCTTGCTCTCAAAAACGCATTAAAGTTACATGGGTACAAGTCTGGCTCGACTTATTCAATTACAGTAACAAACTATATTTGAAGCTTTCGTGACTGCAGGAGTTACTCTTTGGTTCTTTCGCTAAGTCACGTAGAAAATAAAATCGA